AGAAGTGCATTTAGAAGGGTGGAAGAGGGCTTCAATATTCGAGCAAAAGTGTTTCCAAGTGGGCAAAGACACTGAAAATCTCTGTAACAACGCGCTCGGAAACAACGAATTAAAATACCTTCTCACCCCTAATAATTAATTCTAAAGTTATAAACTATTTGTGTGATGGCACTTTTCCTTTTGAATTTTATTTAGTATCAATAACTAGTAACTAATTCATAATGTATTGCATAATAGAAAGAAATGAAAATTAAATCACTAATAAAATAACATTGGTTTGATTTAAACATTCCAAAGGACAGTTAAAATTATGAGTAATGAATGTTCATAAATTATTTTTCCATTGCAAAATCATGCTCCATTACAAAATCGTGCCAGAGAAACCAAAAAAACATCACATAAGATTCCATTGCTTTCATTCACTTCTAGAAACCATGAAAGGGATTGTTTGAAAGCAAGCATCATCAAAGCAACTGGAAACTTGATGGGAATCTAGATTTTAGGTTAAATCCCAAGAAGTGTACTGGCAAACTACAGAAGTTAATCCTTTCTTTCAGTTACTCTTCAGATCCCAAACATTCTGATGAACACTACAAATTTGCTCACTAAAACCAGTAATAAAACATACATTAGTCATAAAGGCATAAATATTAAATTCCTTTAGTTTTTTTACAAAAGTAGAGAAGTGCACTGCTATACTTTTAATGAAACTATTTCATCTGAATTTTTCTTATGATCTTGTCAAAGATAGATGCCGATACCCAAGTACTTTTAACAGCGGCATGTAATAATTCACACAATATAAATTCTCTAAATTAGCAAAACCCAAAGATTTTTATCCATAAATTTCAGTATATTCACATCATCTATGATTAATAATCATTGGATACTGAAAAGTCTACGAGTTGGAAGTGTTTTTATGAAATCGTACTGCAATATTAATACACAACAAATGATTTTAGATTAAATAATTTTCCAGCAGTGTGATTTTAGCATATTAGAGTGGTTGCATGATCACTTTCTTAAAGCATGTACTTCAAATATCATGTGAATCCTTATCTTGATCTAAGCTCCACAATACATAAAAGTTTGTACACAAGTCCACAGTTCTTTTCTAGCATGGGGTCACGATTTTGTTACTCAGTATTGCAGTATAACCTGATGGAATTCATGAATTCCATCTTGCAATATTGTGAGGAAGCTTAATGACACAGGAGACCCAATGGTCACAGAACGTCAAAAGAAAGTCACAGTCTGCAACTTTGGATTTAATTATTTACTTAGAATTATTGGATAACTCCAATAGTTGGATTTTCCATATTCTTAGCACATTTCACAATTCTGTATTAAACTTGTACAAAAAAGAATCATGTGAAAAGACAGACTACATTTTATCAGAGCAACGTAATATTGATTCACATTTGTCTCTTTATTTGTATTTGTAAGATAAAAGTTCTTAACTAAACTTTTGTAGCAATTTCTAAGCAATTCTAAAAAATATTCAGTGTTAAATTCCATAATAAATTCCTTTCTGAAGAAACATTAAAATCACATTAAAATTTTTCATTATCTCAGAATCGATAAACATACAATCCTAGTGTCAATAAAAAGCCCCAAGTAACCTTCACACCATACATTAATGAGTGAATTTTATGCAATATACTTAACTGAGAACCATGCAAGGAAACATCCTAAGAGGACTTAAAAATACTAATGTGCAAATAAAATCATGAGAATCATTAAGGGTTGCAAATAGATATCACAGATGGGTAGAGTTCAGCTAAATTGTAATTTGCATACTACCCTGAGAAGCATTCATTGAGAAGCCATATGCATGATCGAAGGCAATGGAATAATACAAAACCTTCAGTTGACAGTAACTATTTGTATTTCCACTTTGTTAGGTTGTCAATGAAGCTTGAATTATCCCTGAGAGTTCAGTTTTAAACAAAAAGTTATCCAAACACACAAATCTTATGTATTCTATAAAACAACATTACTGGAATTTAAATAAAAAAAATACAAACCTTCTCAACATCAAAAAGAACTCCCCAAAAATTATGTTGGTCCATATATGATGAATGTTGAATACCTGTATTGCTAAATTACAGTGAATACTCTGAAACAACAAAAAATACAAAAAATTAAGACAAAATGCACACGATAATCCAAAGAGAAAGAAGAATATCCACATTAAAAAATGAGCAAAACCTCCAATTTCAACTTAGCTTCCTCCAAAATGACTAATGAAAGCTCCAAAATAATGAAAGCTCCAAAATAATGAAAACTCCAAAATAATGAAAACTCCAAAATAATGAAAACTCCAAAATAATGAAAACATTGTAACTTCAACCAACCAAAAACTCGTTACATTTGATGTTTCCAGTAAGCAATGTGATACCAATGCTAATACCAATTCAGTGCCTGGACGTATTAAGTATTCTGTACGGCTAACTTATTAAGTAATTTGTATGGCAATTTTACACACTTAATTACTCTAGAACTTTTCACAATTAATTAATAACATTATTTATTTAACGGTAAAAACTGTATGTCACATACAACAAAGATCTATCTACATAAGTTTTCTTGATTTTCTTGCCACTTCGCTTTTAATATACTTATTTGAATTATAAATAAAAGTAGCAATGAGCATTTTTAGAAATGATTGATAACAAGAAAAAACACTCAAGTTTAATAGAAACTAGTTGCAACAGCAAACGAGCAACAGATTTTCTCTGATGTTTGATGAGATTTTATTTGTATGGTTGACATAATAATAAAAATAACTTATGTGTATATAGTATATATGTAAGAACATATCCTTCACACGTTAATTCCAAGTAAAAATGCTGTTAATTTGAATTTGAGAAATGTGAACCAGAAATGTGAAATTTGTTCCAACAGATATACAAAGAAAAGAGAAATTCAATGCTTAATAAAAAATAATCAGAACAAATGGAGACATTACAGTTGTATGTTACAACATACAGTCTACTCATTCAAGCAGACTTAAATTTTTCCATAAAATTATCTTAAGAAAAAAATGAATACATTCATAAGGTTCTAGAAATGACCATTTATTGTCTACACTTAAGAACAATCCTATAGAAAAATAAAAATGATCAGCAAAAATACTTTATTCTTGCAGTCCAGAGCACTAACTTGAGAAAATTGTACAGTACTTGGAAACTGACATCAAAAAACTAGAAATATAAGTTCAAGCAAGAGAATTGCAATAAACAATGTAAGATCTGAATAAAATAAGAATGTGGTTGACAGTTGGGTGTGGCCACATACTATATGTGTTTCAATACCGCTATTTTCAACACGATATGCATTTAACAACAATACTAACAGCACACCCTACTCACACTATCCAATCGTGTAACTCATTATCACAATTAACCTCACACTCAGCATTTGTAACAATGCTTATCTGATTAACTGCGACATTCAAGCCTTGCGATTAATTTCTATAATTTCCATAATTCATTATATTTTCACTCGGGGAGTCCACAGACTTGGAAATAATATCTGCAACATTGCAGTGTCAAAGTAGGTGAAGTAACGACATCATAATTATTACTACTAATTCTATTACTAATAATAATAATAATAATTTGAAGTGACAACTCTGTGCCAATACTGAAGCTTCTGATTTGCTGTTGCTTAGTTTAAGTCAATGGTGTTACCCTGACAATCAACTGTCAACCACAATCTAATTTTATTCCTAGTATAACCATATTGGAGCACATAACATAATATTTATTACAGTAACAAAGTATTGTAATGCAACTTTCCTTCAACTAAGTTGTTGACATTTATGGCTGACTGTGTTACGTTCGTAATATAGATTTATGACCATTAAATAAAGTAGACTAACTACGAAGACACCAAAATTAAAGATAAAATTACACAAAATTTTCAAAACACGAAGCGATACTAGATGTCAACTCTTGTTAAACTGAAATTGTCAATGATTCTGCTTGGGTTTGGAGCCATCCTCAGGAATCCAGTTGTTTCAACATATATTAAAACTAGATTAACTGTCTCATTGGTACTTACAAACAATCAAACTACCCACACTGATGGACCATACATATTCACAATACACAATAAACACTTGTAAACTTGTACAGAATATGGACGTGAAACAATTCATCTACGTACACAATAATAAATCAGGTATTTATTCATTTACTGGGTCACTTATTCAGTAATTATCAAAAGTATCAAACACTTGACAAAGCATTAGCACCACTAACATACTCTGCAAGTATGGACATTTTCAATAAATTACGTAGTTTACTTTGGGATATCAACTATGCGTGAATTTCATTATCATAAGTATGAACAGAATGCAAGACCACACACTTGAATAAAATAATACTGACAGAAAAAGAACATCATTTAGTTAATGGATACACTAGATACTTGGTAAAATACTTTTTTATTGTATTTTCATCTAAAGAGACCTTTTTCTGTAAGTTCTCAACATTTTTAAAATTCTGTTATATCTTAATTCACATCCCACAATTTTTTATATAAATTATAACTTCAGTATACTGACTGTTCAATTATAGATAAAACTTTCCTTTGTCACGGAAATTATAAATAAATTTAATGAGCTTACAGAAAAATTGTTTAATATGAATGTTTCTACAACCACTACAAGAAGAATCAGAAAAAACCTAGCAAATCAAACACTTAAAATGTAACTTGCTCCTAACACACACCCAACACACACCCATACACACAAAATTGTAGAAACTTCAAAATAAAATCCATGGAAAAAAAAGCAAAAAAAAAAAAAAAATAACCATACCTTCTCTCATTATTTTCTTTATCCCGTTTCATATTTCCTTTCTGTTTGCTATACAAATATCCCAGGATTATTTTAATGACACTTTCATTCACTTTCCACACAATCTTCAACACTATGTTATCATTGAGTCTGAACGCTCATTTGCCACTCAATCAGACTATCTTTTGCCTTCGTTTTCAACATTCACAGCACATGGAATGTGGCAAAGAATGCAGTTGATTGGAACACACAAAAACACCTAAGGAAAAAAAGAATAAGTTACATTGGATTAACACAGAACATTTATTACAGTAAACCCTCCAAAAGTCATAACAGGACCCATCTACAATTGGAAGGGCACTCGGTACCTTTTTCCAATCACATGCTCGTCGAAAACAGCAATTTCAACAAAAAATATCTATGTTCTTAGAAGTTCAAAATAACATATAGTATGTATGTTAAAATACCATAAAAAATAGTAATTAACTAATTAGATATGTTACCATTTATAATTAGTATCAAGCCTCTGAAAAACTAAAATTATTCACAAAACTTTCATTCATAAATTTTTCATTGGCACAAGTCATAAAACTACTCGAATACTACCAAACTATTACAAAATTCACATAAAGCACATTTGTCACTTTCACTGTACGTAAACCTAAATTGCAAAATTTCTCTCACACTTCAATTTTCCCAAATTACTGGATAATTACAAGCTAAATATACAAACTTTCATAAAAATTGTTCGTCAAATCAAATTCAAAAATACATATACAAATAAAACTTCCCTGAAGAGAAGCTTCTTACGCACAAGATGTAGGAAAGAAAACCTACTGAATCACATAATACAATCACAAGTATTAACTGACCAATACCCATTTCCACAAATTGTTTACTTTTACATGAATGAGCAAACAGCCACTTTGTGTATCCAAAGATACACAAAGTGTAAACAAAGTCTTATTGTAAATTAAGAACATTAATGGAAATTTTAGAGAATGCAAGAACATTGAAGTCCTTAATTATATCCCACAACAGTAAGGAATGCATTGCAAACAATCATTGGACATGTCTAAATCAATAAATAATGATGCACACAAATTTCCATTAATGGTCAATACTTAATCATTAATGGTTGCTTTCCCATACAAGCACAGAAAAGGACTGTCTTAATTCAGACATTTCTCATTTCTTGGAATAAAGGGAAAAAAAAACTTCAATGGGCTGAAAGTCTATTTAAGGTAAACAATTTCACAATAACAAATGTATAAAAACAACCATGATTAGATTTTCTCAGTCTACCTAAATAACCCTTTTTCATGGATTTTCTTTATACTATACATGCAACAATTCATCCTGAGCCTGAATGAAAAGGAAATTTAGACATTTACACATTCGGAATATATAATTTATCAAATCAACATTTAGCCACTGTTCATGCTTAATACCTTAAACAGTTTTATCCTCTCCATACCACAAAATCATAAAAGTTTAATAATAAATAATAGACACTTTACAGGTCCTGATGCACAGAAAAATTGAGTTTTGTGTCAGATTTCAAAGTATACCCAACCATAGTCAAATGATATACATGTTTCCAAAATCATTATTACTCTAGTCTACTTTATGTTGACAAACTAAGCTAACTTTTCAAAAACGTAATACAAAAATAATATTTTATTCAATCTATATGAAGTTTGCGTTCTTGAGTTTTCAAACAATTTCAAAACTACACACCTCTCTCCCACAAATTCAGAGTAAGAGGCCCGACATAAAAATCATGAAGAATGCATACCAACTAAGCAACACGATATCATACCATCTAATTTAGGTTATTCTGTAAGAAAGGATGAAATATCATCAATGTTCATATAGATTTTACATTCCATAAATATTCTAACCTTAATTGTAAACACAGATATCCATGACCTTACGACAATAATAAACAGCACTGAAATAGACAAATAGAAACAAACCTATCACAGATAACCTAAACCTATCTCTTCACAATAAATTTCACTCATATATACAATTATAAATTAAGTTATTTTTCTTCTTTTACAACAACCTCAACTCTATATAACACCGGACCTTTTTCTGATTATCAACGAAGAAAATTCTGCAAAATCACATAATAATGTAAACACTGTTGAGACACACAACCCTCTTCAAAAGAACCTCCAATAATTGCCACGATCTTAGTCCATGAAATACCTACGGTAACCTTGCAAAAACTTTCCTTGGAAAGCAATAGCTTTTTTTAATGTTATAATGCCACAGTCCACTACAGAGTTCACAACTAAAGAATGAAAGCTTTAGGCAATAAAGATGTCATAACATGCCCTTCATGTAGTCATTGAAATTCACTATTTATTCACAAAAACACATTGAAGATTAAACCTCTGTCACGTTCAGTTCGGCTGAAAAACACTAAAACACGATGATAACAAATGCCTAACCAAAATATGACACGAATCTTAACTTCTAAACCATCAACCTACTTAAGTTGACCATAGTAGATAACCAAAACCTGAAGTAAAGCACATTGTCTAACTTTCATATTTTTCACGACAGAAAACACCTTTTTTCTTCGTATACTTGCCAATAATCACTCACAGAAGGTAAACAAAATAGCATTTAACACTCCAACAACGAATAAAACTTGCAAACAAGGGAGGTGTTTTTACACATAAGACACCATTCTTAAACAGAACACTCAAGATCTTATTACTTCCACTTTTCGAAGCGAATTTAATGGCACTCACCTATGTTATAAAAATAATAACCATACTGACACTACCACACTATCGTACAGCCGTTTCCTATTATTCATTAGTAAACTCCACAGCCATTATGTCAATGACTCCCATTTTGGGGCTGTTGATACATCAGCGCCATCCATCGTATATCACAAACACTGTGCAACACAACTTTTCGATTCGTTGTCTTCGCAGCTACGCATCATTGCAGAAGTAAACAAACACACATTTCTTTGAAAGCAAGTTCCCGTCCACAATATTAATTACCACCATCTCTCAATTCTCCATAAAGTCAGGATTTCTTCACAAACATTCGTTGGAAATGCTGTCTCGATTTAGTTCCCAAACTCACCGCTAGAGTGGCCATTAGAATCGTAAGCGTTAAAGCAGGCTGGCCCGGCACGAACGTAATTTTCGAATTCACCTTCACACATCAACCATTTCAAGCAATTGCTACGAACTACTTCAGGTCTTCACGTACTGCCCATCTGCACAAGAAAAGGCAAAAACTGATCTTCTATATTAATTCAGTCACACAGTCGTCGTAGACGCTTTTTCTGGCTGTCATCACAGTACCCACCTTTAGCGTGAAATGACCATGTGCGCACATCTACTAACATCAATATGTATGTTCCATTACAATAATCTGATTTCTTCAATTTTCTTATAAATAAATATTCTTTAATGAAGGATACATTGCCGTATTTCCCAACGTTGGATAGCAACACGACGCGCCAAACGTCACAATTTACACATAATATTACGAAGGTACCTAATGCGTCCGCGGTGAAAATATAGTTCAGAAGTTTTAAGGATATTTCTAGAGAAACAAAGCAGTATATCCCGCAATTCTTTCACATAAAATTACCAATTATACTCTATCATAAGATAATTTGGGAATCACGATTTATAAAAAGATATTGAGCGAATGAATACATTGTATTCAGTTCCCAAACAATCGGCCTACGCTAGACCGACCTCATCCCACATTCGTGTCGCTCAGTTTGCCACGGAGGAACAACGCGTGTGAGTGTCTAGCCGCACTTTGTGGTTTCTGTCAGTTCCTTTTAGTTGTCAAATAATAGAGTGCTTGAAACGTTGAACATTTAACATTCCAAAATCATATTCTGAGAAGATGGCTCCTAAAACAAAAGTTTACGTTGTTGGAGTTGGTATGACTAAGGTAATGGTCTTCTGTTAATATTTCTTGATATATTGTGTTCTTTATATTATTGTTACAGGAACATTTAGTATTGTCAATTTGCCTGTTTTTAATTCGTGTAGAATATATAAATTACTTTCAAAAATCTAAATAGGGTACTTATGTTGGAATTACTAGAAAAGGATGCATATCTTCAACTTATTTAACTAATTATTTTGACTAAATATTGATAATTTTAGTCATGTTCGCTATTGTTAATCTGACAATGTTTAACTGAAAGTTTGTTATTGATTGACTATGAAGTCGGCAAACTCTTGAAGAAAAAGTCAAATATGCCGAATCACTCTGACCGGTTTTAAAATACAAGGCAGGCAAAAACGTTTAATTTTTGCCCTGTACAGTTCTGTACGCTCGGCGGTATTACCGGTAAATTGTGCAGCGAGATTATTTGATGTGTATAATATTGTAAGATTGTAATTAACCATTCAGTCTGATATTTTATATTTGCATTTCATGTAGCTTGGAAAGTCCACAAAAAATCTCTTAAGAGATGGTTAGCACTCAAGATTTTGCAAGTCATTGTAGTGATGGAAACACCCACACTTTAAGTACTTTTCCAAGTTTTGGACACATTTGAACACAAGAGCGCTTCAATATAAGGGGAATCACAGTTTGTGCACAACTGTACAAGTTATGGATACTATGGTTGTATTAATATTACATGAAGGCATTCCCTTATCCCCCGACTTTTTCCTTCTATGAATTCACCCGTTTAAGGCTAAGCTTGTGGATTCATACTTGTATCAATCGGTAGGGGGGTTGAATAATTTTTAAAACTGAGCACTGGGTTAAAAAGAGAACTTAAGGAATTATAGCCTTTCCTAAAAAAAGTTCTATATTGTTTTAATAATTATAATTTTGTTCGCCAATAGTGGGAGTTCGTGTAATAAATCCCACACCGACTGGCAAATGGTGTGTTGTGAATGAAAATCTTAATAATTCTAGCAGGTCTGAATTTCTGAATCAAAGGCATATAAACTTTCGTAAGGGTACGTATTCGTTTTAAACCATACACATTTATAATGAACATGTTTTTCTTACTTTATTACAAATTATAGATTTGTCATTATGTGCACTAGATAAGATTTGGGATTAAGAAAAATATTTGAGGTACATTTTTAAGAGAAACTATTTCACCAAAGAGCCGGACAAGTATTTCAACGTTACTAGTCTCTTAAACGAGATTAATAGTAGGTACGGCTAGAGTGTGAAATATAGCTAATGTTGGGAATAACCAATTCTCACATTAGCCAGACGGTTTGGATAAAGCTGAACCAATTTCTATGGGCATATAATTTGACTTCGGCTAATTTTGGTATAAATTACAGGTCTTTAGCTAAAGTAAATTGTTTGTCCGAATCCGAGGTTCGCAGGAAGTACTTTTGCATGAAAATGCTTTGGCAGTTATGTCTAGCTGAGACTGAAGATTTATATAGTATGTGAATCGGGAAAACTGAAGCCTTGTCGCCAACTCGAAAATCCTTAGCGAAGCATCAACTGAAGGTATGAAGTTGGGTTAGGTGATGTCGTGGAAATAGAAATTTGCCACTTACGTAAAAGTCGAAACTACACAACTTCTCTCACTATCCAGTGGCATTCTAATCCCTATTTATCAGATAGTATCTATTTCTCGTCACTTGCCCTAGCCACCTCGTCTTGGCTAATTTCATCGTCATCCAACTTAAAGTCCGAAGTATGCTTCGAAGGTGTTCCAACTTCGGACTTCATTCACCCATTTTAAATAATGTGAATATTTACCGGCTAATCCGGGAATTAGTTTCATTCGGACTTTGAAAATAAGGTATATATCCGAAGGCTGAATTTCATTTGCAAAGATGGTGTGAAGGTTCTGCTTCACGCTCTATTTTCAAGAGACTAGGTAATGGCCACCTGAGCAGGGAATTTTCGACAGATGTACTTCTATTATCGCTTGGTCGAGCATAAGAAATCCCGCCGATGTTTAGTGGAAGTAATCCAGCTGTAGGGAAGGTGTGGATTTTTTACTCGTTCGTCTTGGCGCAAAATCAAATAAACTGTCTGTAATGCGAACACAGTCTTCCGATTATGTACATTTTTGCGTACATATATAACGCAGTAATTTTTTTTATCCTGCTTAAAGAATTCCGGTTCCTTTTTTTGCGTGAAATCGCAATGATCCTCTTTAGTATATTGATATGTGTTCCTTTAAATGTGGATCGTTGCGATGTGCAACTTCGTCAGTGTTGGATTATCCGCCAACCAATTGTTGTTTGAGAGATTGTATGTGGATATTCAGACTATTCTAACTTGCTTTTCCTTTTGAAGGAAGTTTTTTTTGTGCCGATTTATATCAGTACTGGTTTCATCTTGCGTGCGTCACAATTGTGAAATGAGACTCAAAGAAGTCTGCTCTTCGTGAATTGGCAATATTTTTCGCAGCGTGAGGAGAGAAGAGCTATTCTGAATGTCGTTAAATTTATCCTTAAATATCCCTTCTTCAGATTCACTGTTAACTTTTCAAGTGATACGCGCCTTGCTCTAGTTTACGGAATTAAAGTATTTTCCACGAGAAATATTACATGTATAGTGCGTATTTCTTCGTGATTCAATTATTGGCAATTTTTATCAACCGGATCATGTCTATAAAGGTTTTTTTTTCCAGTATATTTACCTCCAAAAGATTATATTACTATTGAACTGTTGCCGTTTTTTGGTTAGCATTTCTCTAACTTTCTATGCCGGAGTGGTTCAGAAATAAAATTGTGTGATGGCCAAGCCAACAAACCTAGGTGTGCGTAAGGCTCTAAATACACTCGAAAGCAGCCAAGAACACTTGCACGATTTGACGAGACCGGTAGCCCTTATTCCTAAAATGTGATATGTAATGTAATAAAAGTTTTTATTATGGAATGACAATTGCCGGGCCCAATTCGCGCCTTGCCCATGAACTTTGCTCACCTCTACCGCATTCACTCCCCCTGCCCTCATTGAGATTTTATCAACCCGCAGACACGCCGCGTGTGCAAAAGCGAGCGGATGGACCGTCGTGTACTCCGTTTGACAATTCCTTTTCCAAGCTTTGATGCCCCGTTACCCTGCGTTGGCAGTATTCGGTTTGACAGCGTTTTGTCGTGGTGGCGCCTGGGTAGCAGTGCACACGCGAATCATTTTCTCGAAGCTTATTTGCATTTAATGCAAGAAAGTAATGATGTCATTATGACTTACGAATTAATACACAAATGAAATAAATATTCATAGCGCACACACACATAACGAAATTACTCCACAGCTGCCGTTTCTTCGCTGTCAGTCACCTTTCCATAAGACGTATTCGATACATACGCTTGGCTATCATGACCTATTCCGTTCCTTGTTTCCATGGTGATCCTCCTAATGGTCATCCTCTCCTCAGACGTTCCGCTGGTAACCATAAAAGACTTGTTTTGGTCATGTGTCAATACCACTGTATTGTTTCCTAACATATATACATATACACATACATATATATATATATATATATATATATATATATATATATTTCATAATTTAAATTACAAAAATGTTTGATGGTAGCGCATCTGCATCTGACGTGAGTTTTTATCGTTGGAAACAATGGAGAATGTTCATGAAAACAGCTTAATGTGTATGTTAATATGACTGAGTACTGAGAAAATTATTAAGCTGTCTGGTAATTCACAATTTGTGCAAACCTACAAATGCACATCTATTATCACCGCAATGAAAAATGGAAACGTTCCCAAGAGGTCATCATAAAAATTGCTCTGGATTCCATAGTCGAAAAACATGACTTATTCAAATACATAGCACCAGGGAATGTGTGCCGATTAAACACAGATTTGTGGGTATTACGAATGTAAACTATAAAAAAGCTATATTTTCCTTTTTCCTTTAGCTATATGACAAACTACAAAAATTATTCCCCCCTAAAACCTTGACCAGTGTTCAAAGATCAGAGTTTGAAGTGAAAAACAGCAACACGAAAAAGCTTAATCATCATAATCAATTGCGAGAAGGCACTCTCAGGCGTCCGACCGGTAGGCTGAATCACACCAGAGTGTAAAGGTCTGTTTGGTATTTGACCTGCTGATCAATTACGCAACTGTTATCCAATCTTATCTCAAACAAGTGTTCCTAAAGGTATTCTTATGTACCCATTTTTTTTATTTGCTTTCCTTCCGTAGGGATAGAAATCGCAAACAAATTCGATATGTGAAAATTTTGTAACTTATTATTATCATCATCATGAATTAAGACGTAATGCGAAACAGTATGGTGCCTAGCAATGGATAGACGAGGTACACTCAGACATTTATGGAAATTATCAGTATTATACTGAGATTTTTGCAATTCTGCCCCGTGGAAAGTAACAGCTGTTGTTGGTTTCATCCAGTCTGGCTTGAACGTCCCCATAGCGCCGTCCCTATTGTGATGATAACGCTCCCGATTGGTTGAAACCGTTAGCAGCTTATACCTGTCAGGGGCAGAGTTGGGAAAATCGCAGTATACGATTAACACGTACATTCGTGATAATTATCAACTCCAAAATATGTCTCTAGCTCGACTGCAACCCAAATATACGTGGTTCTTCCTTCGCACCCTACATTTTACTCCATGGCTTTTCTCTGCCTACTCTCGGGTGGTTCAACTCCCTCGTTATCACTTTCTTGGGGACTGTCTCCCCCACGCGGCTTCTCCGTCGTGGGTTCGTCACACACTCACGTGATCCGTTTCCCACGCGCTATCTCTCGCGGTAGCATCCCACGCGCTATCTCTCGCGGTAGCATCCCACGCTCTATCTCTCGCGGTAGCATCCCACGCTCTATCTCTCGCGGTAGCATCCCGCGCTCTGTCTCTCGCGGTAGCATCCCGCGCTCTGTCTCTCGCGGTAGCATTCCGCGCTGTGTCTCTCGCGGTAGCATCCCGCGCTGTGTCTCTCGCGATAGCATCCCGCGCTCTGTCTC